CGTTTCCTTGGTTACCGCTGTAAACAAAGCAGAGCCGCGCTTTATACGGAGAAGAAAATGCCATTGCCATCGAAACTTTTCTCAAGACAGTACCCTTCAGTGATACATTAATATAACCCCATAAATGTAATGCATTTTTGTATTTATTTTACTGTTTTTTTCGGGATCTACTGGGACAGTGATAAAGATCTACCAGCCGATCGCGATCGAGGGGGCGACCACTGCTATAGGATGTTGCGCATGCGCGACTGAACGAATCACTCCCCGAGACGACTCGTTCTTCCCGAGTCACATTAAAGATTCGTTCAAAATGAACGAATCGTTCAAGAACGACCCAACACTAGTACACACACACACTCTAAGATCAACTCTGAGCGTACACACACACACACACACACACACACACACACACTCTCTAAGATCAACTGTGAGCATACACACACACACACTCTCTCTAAGATCAACTGTGAGCGTACACACACACACACACACACACACACACTCTCTAAGATCAACTGTGAGCATACACACACACACACTCTCTCTAAGATCAACTGTGAGCGTACACACACACACACACACACACACACACTCTCTAAGATCAACTGTGAGCATACACACACACACACTCTCTCTAAGATCAACTGTGAGCGTACACACACACACACACACACACACACACTCTCTAAGATCAACTCTGAGCGTATACACACACACACTCTAACATCAACTCTGAGCGTATACACACACACACTCTAACATCAACTCTGAGCGTATACACACACACACTCTAACATCAACTCTGAGCGTATACACACACACACTCTAACATCAACTCTGAGCGTATACACACACACACTCTAACATCAACTCTGAGCGTATACACACACACACTCTAACATCAACTCTGAGCGTATACACACACACACTCTAACATCAACTCTGAGCGTATACACACACACACTCTAACATCAACTCTGAGCGTATACACACACACACTCTAAGATCAACTGTGCGCGCACACACACACACACACACACTCTCTAAGATCAACTCTGAGCGTACACACACACACACTCTCTAAGATCAACTCTGAGCGTATACACACACACACACACACTCTAAGATCAACTCTGAGCGTATACACACACACACACACTCTAAGATCAACTGTGAGCGTACACACACTTCATAAATGAGACCCGGATCTCCTCCAGCGTCTGTCTCTCAGCTAACCTCCAGGGGCTTCGTTTATAAAGTGTGTGTACGCACAGATTTGATCTTAGAGTGTGCGTACGCTTAAATCCACGGCGACGTTCATATTTATCAAAACGGTCTTTGACGAGGAAAAGTACTTACCGTCACGTCAGGGTCTGAGCAGGCGTACGCACTTTTCCTTGTGGCGAAGTCAGAGTACTGCAGCTATTTGAACATCTCAGCTGCAATAATAATAAAAGCGGTGTACGTGCAAGCACTGCATTCATCAGAAACAACGAAGATGAAGAGTTCTTTATAGTCTATACTCGCTTTCTGTACACAGTTTATTCCATGTTGTTTTTTGATATAATATAAAAATATAACCACACACACATTGTTTTGTCCACAGAATAATTACACATTATTAAATAATTTGGGTCCACGCATGTTAATCATTTCTGTGCGTCTATGGCCTATAAAATGGCCTATGATGAAGTCGTTTGCAAGAGGCAGAATGGCAGCAATAGCGCTTCTTGAAGATATTGCAAACCGTGCAATGAGAAGACAACGCGTTTTTAGAGATCGGGCAGATTTCTTTGCGTATGGCGACGAATGGTTGATAAGCAGGTACCGTTTGCCAAGAGCTGCACTGTTACATCTTTGTGCCCAGATAGGCCCTAATATACAGAGACGCACCAACTCCAACCAGGCCATACCGGTGGAGGTACAGGTGCTCTCCGTGCTTGGGTTCCTGGCCACGGGAACATTTCAAAGAGAGATTGGTGACCGATCAGGAATATCCCAGCCATCTGTGAGTAGACTTATGCTAGCCGAGCTTCAAGGCATCATGTGCATTCACTGTCCACATAAAGTACCCGAGGAGAAGCAGCATGTTATGGATGATTTTGTGCGCCAAACGGGATTCCCCAATGTCCTAGGTGCAGTAGATTGCACTCACGTTGCCATACGAGCACCTCATGCACATGAATATGTGTATGTTAATAGGAAAAATTTCCATTCAATTAATGTACAGCTCATTTGCAATGCTCGAATGGCAATTCTTAATGCAGTTGCAAGATGGCCAGGGTCGACGCACGACTCCTTCATTGTGCGCAACTGCAGCGTGGGCAATCGTCTAAAGGCAGGAGCAGGTAGAGATGGATGGCTTCTAGGTAAATAAATTTGTTTAGCTGTTATTCCATTTTCGTGTTAAAAAATAATTCTCTATACAATTATAGGTGACAGAGGTTATCCTCTGAAGCCATGGCTTCTCACCCCCA